ATTAAGTACCATGTAGTACTTTTCGTGCACATAACTTTCGAAAACTTTCTCCATATCCGCCAGAAATGTTAATTTCAAATATCAGGATTCCTCCTCCATCCGTTGCTCTAAATTCAAAAGGTTCGAAATACACACCCAAAACTACCTCCTTACATCGACCCTACTCCTCAACCTTGATTCCCATTCCAAATTTCTAGCTATAACCTTTCACCTTATAATACGAAATGATAGTAAATATATTACATTTAAGTACTTTTTGTACATTTATAGTGCGGATTTCCAATAACCTTTCGGCACATCCATTACACACTCTATCTGTCAGCCTAATTCCAAATTTAAGAGTTTTAGTTGTACTGGTTCGTCAAATAAAAAGGATTACATATTTAGTACCTTTAGTATCCGATTCGGTCCAAAATTGCTACATCGTAATATTTTTGTCAAACTTAGATCGAGTTCGGAGATGGAAAATATTGGTACACTCCTTCTGGTACCTCCCCCAAAAAAGGCCGAAATTTAAAAAAAATAATTTTTTTCTGCACAGAAATAGAAGCGATAATCCGATTTTGCTTCAACTTTGCAAATCCTAATATTTGCGTGAGTTCTAGGTCAGGTGCCAAAATGGATAATATCAACAAGTACCTCCCCAACAAAATTTGAATAATTACAATTGTTATAAAATGTGAAGTAAGAGTCCGATTGTCTTCAAATTTCATACATCCCAATATTTTTATAAACCAAAGGTCTGGTTTTAAGATGGAATATATCAGTCTGCTCCTTCTGTTACCTCCCTCACAAAGTGCCACAAATTATGAATATCTATGAAGCATCTAATATGCGAAATCAACATCCGTTCCCCTCCAGGCTTGGTACATCTGAATATTCATTACTATCAACAAAAGATCTGTTATAAAGATGGTAAGGATCGGACGATTTCTTCCTGAACCTCCACCACAAAGGGTCAAAGTTTTGAATAACCAAAACGATAATAAAATCCGAAATAAGCTTCCGGTTCTCTTCATATTTCACACATCCAATTATTTCTACTAACACGAGATCTGCTGTAAAAATGGTATTTATGGGCGCATTCCTTTTTGTACTTCCCCCCAAATTTATATATCTGGCATCTCACGCACATTTCCCTACAAAGTATGGGAACATGTCACATATAAAGTGTAGGAAGTAGATGATATAGCCCAAATATGGCTCATTGTAATTCTTAACTCTCCTATAAAGGGTCAAAAGTGTGAATAGTCATAACTTAAGGCTGGGGGTATACATCTGTCGGCAAAACCGATTGATACTATTTTACTTTTTGAGATATATTTCACCAAATTTAACTTATAGGCTTGAATTACATCAAACATCTAAAAAGGGTCATGTGATGGGTCCACTTTTTGGTATAGTTCCCTACTGAACGTTTATCCCCAATTTCAACTATTTTTACGTTTTAGTTATATTTTCGATTTAATTTCGTAAAAATTTCGGTATTTTTAGTTCAAAGGAGTCGTAATTTGAAAATTCCACAAATGTGGATTATGCAGATGTATTTATTTAAGTAAACTCTTCTTTCATAATTTACTGGATTTTCCTGATTTTTTTCATTGAAAAAATTTTGCACAGTGCTATCCTCGGTAATAAATGTGATGTATTATTGTCCCCAATTATGAATCTTGTCATTACTCCCCAATTATCATTCACAAAGCCACACCCCCCACCAAAAAAAAAAAAAAAAAAAAACTACATTACTCTTCAGAAAATCATTTCAACTTTATTTCTTCTCTCCTCTCTCATCAAAACCGATTTAAGCCTTCCAGTTGGACCACTTCTTGATTTCATTGTACAAATTATTGCCGGGACATTCGGTTGAACCGACTTGACGATGACCGTACAAAGTGTAATTGGAGGCGACGTAACCCTGCGATACCAACCAGGCGATCAATTCCTTGGCCTTGGCTACTTGGGTGGCAGTGGGAGTGTAGTCATTGTAGTTACCGATGAACATAATGCCATATGACTTGCTGTTCCAGTTGGTGGCATGGGCGCCCATAACACCAGCACCACGACCCTCATAGATATTGCCGTCGGCACCAATGCCATAGTTGTAGCCAATATCAGCCCAACCCAAAGAATCCATGTGATAGGATTGCATGTTACGCATCTGGGCGGAGCAGGTGGCCAGGGTGTTGCAGTAGGCTCCAGCCGAATGATGGATGACAACATAGCTCAAACCCTTGGCCAAATAGCTTTTGGAGGTGGCAGCACGTCCACCCCATTGGGATTTGGTGACAATGTTGATGGCGAAAATGCCATGGGCAACTGTGGGAAAATTAGAAATTATACCAGTTATTCAGTGAGAGAAGAGCTTGAAAATCTCGCTTTACAACTTACGACAGAGCACAGCCAAGAGAGCAAAGAAAGCTTTCATTGTGTTTTGTGGTGAATGACTAGAATAGTACTGATGTTTCGTTTTCGAAACATCGAACCTTTAAATACCGAAACCGCAATGTTGTTGTTTTCTGTTTCCTGTTGTTGTTGCGTATTTTTCTTAAACGTTTACTGATAATAACAGAAATTCCTTAGCTCTATTGTGATTGTTTTGATCTGCTCGTTTGTTTTGCTGGGGTTTACTTTAATTAGCCTGGGACATATCGAACAGATTACGGCCCTAATCAATTCCAACCATGTGCCGGAATTCTATGATAGTTTAATGGATGGCACACTTCATTTAATTATCTGTCTATTTTTGTCATATTGGAGCTCCCCCAAGAGGTCTGTTTTATCAAGGTATATAATTTAAATTCAAGATATCGTTTTATTATTGCGCAGGGGGAAAACAAATTAATTGTTTATGCAAATTAGTTGAGATTTCTAGAACTATGACTAATAGCTCGGAAAGTCAAGCTGTCATTGGTGTAAACAAAGTGAGACACTGTGTCTATTTTCTGTGCTGCTTATTTCTAACCTAGAAAATGTTATTCGACCTTCTAAAGGTATTTTTTAATACAAGATCTTCTAAAGGTCGTCTCGAAATAGAAGACCTTTTAAAGGTCTATAATTTCTTCTGATGGTCTTCTCTTCCAAAGGTTTTATGGAAACAGAAGATCTTTCAAATGTATTTTACTTATAGAAGACCTTCCAATGGTATAATCTTTATAGAAGACCTTCCACAGGCCTTCTCTTCATAGAAGACCTTCTTTAGAAAACCTTCTAAAGGTCTTCTCTTTATAGAGGCCTTCTAAAGGTATTTCTTCCAAAGGTCTTCTCTTTATGGAAAGCCGACCTCCATAAGGCTTTGTAAAGAAGACCTTCCAAAGGTCTTCTCTATATAGCTAACCTTCCAAAGGTCTTCTCTTCATAGAAGACCTTCCAAAGGACTTTTCTTTATAGAAGACCTTCTTAGGCTATTTTCTTTATAAAAAAACCTTTAAAGGTCTTCTCTTTAAAGAAGACCTTTCAAAGGTCTTTCTTCGTAAGGTCTACCTTCCAAAGGCCTTTTCTTTATGGAAAACCTTATGGAGATCTTCTCGGTATAGAAACCTTCTAAAGGTCTTCTCTTTATAGAAAACCTTCTAAAAGTCTTCTTTTTATAGAAGATCTCTCTTCTTTATAGAATACCTTCCTAGGGTCTTTTCTTTATAAAAAAAAAACCTTTTAAAGGTCTTCTCTTTAAAGAAGACCTTCCAAAGGTCTTGCTTTTCAAGGTCTTCTCTTTATGGAAACCCTCATGGAGATATTTTGTCTATAAAAGACCTTCTTAGGGTCTTTTCTTTGCAAAAAAAAACCTTTTAAAGGTCTTCTCTTTAAGAAGACCTTCCAAAGGTCGTTCTTCCAAAGGTCTTCCTTCCAAAAGTGTTCTCTTTATGGAAAACCTTATGGAGGTCTTCTCTGTATAGAAGACTTTCCAAAGGTCTTCTCTTCATAGAAGACCTTCTAAAGGTCTTCTCTTCATAGAAGACCTTCCAAAGGTCTTCTCTTCATAGAAGACCTTTCAAAGGTCTACTCTTCATAAAAGACCTTTCAAAGGTCTTCTCTTCATAGAAGACCTTCCAAGGTCTTTTCTTTATAGAATACCTTCCTAGGGTCTTTTCTTTATAAAAAAACCTTTTAAAGGTCTTCTCTTTAAAGAAGACCTTCCAAAGGTCTTCTCTTTAAAGAAGACCTTCAAAAGGTCTTCTCTTTATGGAAATCCTTATGGAGGTCTTCTCTGTATAGAACACCTTTCAAAGGTATTTTCTTTATAGAAGACCTGCTAAGGGTCTACTTTTTATAGAAGATCTTTCAAAGAACTTATTTTCATAGAGGTCCTCTCAAAGGTCTTTTCTTAATAGAAGACCTTTCAAAGGTCTTCACTGCATAGAAAACCCTCCAAAGGTCTTCTCTTCATAGAAGATCTTCCACAGGTTTTCTCATAACTAAAGATCTTTCATAGATCTTCTCTTCATAGAAGACCTTCCAAAGGTCTCTTCTTCCTAGGAGACCTTCCAAAGGTCTATTCTTTATAGAAGACATTCTAAAGGTGTTCTCTAACAAGAAAGCTTTTGAAAGGACTTCTCTTTATAGAAACCCTTTTCTTTTTAAAAGTCATTCTGAAGGTCTTATCTTTATAGCAGTCCTTCTTTTTATTAAAATATATATATATATATATATATATATATATATATATATATATATATATATATATATATATATATATATATATATATGTATATATATATATATATATATATATATATGTATATATATATATATAAATATATATATATATATATATATATATATATATATATATATATATATATATATATATATATATATATACTAAAATATTGGACTATTGATCCAATTGTTATCGAATTTTAACGAAAAAACATATTTTTTAACTGATTAGGGTCGTAATCTGTTGGATTTCTGCTTAGCTAATTAAAGTAAGTCACAGCAAACAAAACAGAGAAATACAATCACAATAGAGCCAAGGAATTTTTGTATTATCAATAAATTTAAGAAAAAAAATAGCAAAAAGAACATTCAACTCAGAAGTTGGGTCAACGTATTTAAAGGTTCGATGTTTCCAAAACGAAACATCAGTTCTTTTCTAGTCATTCACCACAAAACACTATGAAAGCTTTCTTTGCTCTCTTGGCTGTGCTCTGTCGTAAGTTGTAAAGCGATATTTTCAAGCTCTCTCTTTCTCTCTCAATGAAAAATTCATTTAATGTATATTTTTCCCACAGTTGCCCATGGCATTTCGGCCATTAGCATTGTCACCAAATCCCAATGGGGCGGTCGTGCTGCCACCTCCAAAAGCTATTTGGCCAAGGGTTTGAGCTATGTTGTCATCCATCATTCCGCCGGAGCCTACTGCAACACTCTGGCCACTTGCTCGGCCCAGATGCGTAACATGCAATCGTATCACATGGATTCTTTAGGTTGGGCTGACATTGGCTACAACTATGGCATTGGTGCTGATGGCAATATCTATGAGGGTCGTGGTGCTGGTGTTATGGGCGCCCATGCCACCAACTGGAACAGCAAGTCTTATGGCATTATGTTCATTGGTAACTACAATGACTACACTCCCACTGCCACTCAGGTTGCCAAGGCTAAGGAATTAATCGCCTGGTTGGTATCGCAGGGTTATGTCGCCTCCAATTACACTTTGTACGGTCATCGTCAAGTAGGTTCCACCGAATGTCCCGGCAATAATTTGTACAATGAAATCAAGAAGTGGTCCAACTGGAAGGCTTAAGGTGATTTGATGAGAGAGGAGATAAGAAATAAAGTTGAAATGGTTTTATGAAGAATATTGAAGAGTATTTTTTGATTTTTTTTTGGATGATAATTTGGGGGATATGACTAGATCCAAGTTGGTGACAATAATATATCGCATTTACTACAGAGGATAACACTGTGCGACAAAATTCAATTTGTCCAAAGCATTTTGGTGAGAATTTTCCAGAAAAAAAGTTATTCGTGATGGAATTCAAGCGTGATAGTGTGATTTCTCTTTATTTGGCTGGAAAACCACAAGCTATTGTTAGAGCACTCCAGCATTCAAATGTGAATAAATCTTTTGTGTCTCGTACCATCGATCGTTACCGTAATACTGGTAGCGTAGCCCCACGTCAAGGAAGTGGACGGAAGAAAACAGCAACATCAGCAGAAATGGTTCGAAAAGTAAAGAAGCGACTTGATCGAAACCCGCGTCGCAGTGGCCGAAAAATTGCTCGTGAGCTGAACATATCGCAATATTCCCTTCGGCAAACATTGAAAAGTGAGCTCGGGACTCGGTATGCCATTGAAATTCCCAAAAGTGCAAGAACTTACCCCGCAACAGAAAAAATAGACCCAAAAGAGCTAAAGAGTTGCTTCGCTTTGGCGAAAGTGGTGTACTGCCGAATTCCGTTTTCTCTGATGAGAAAACATTCGCGATCCTGTTTACTTGTCAAAGAGATCAGCTGAAAATGTGCACCATCGGTTGGCCACCAGAACTCAAGCGCCGGCCATGCTAATGGTGTGGGCCGCCATAACAGCCGATAGTCGCTCCCCGCTCGTATTAATCGAGCGTGGCATCAGAATGAATGCTGAATATTATCGCGAAAATATTCTGGAAGGTGTATTAAAGCCTAGGGCATGCAAACATTTTGGCCGCAGACCTTAGACATTCGAACAGGATTCAGCAAGATCGCACTCAGCACGCGCCACCCAAGAATGGTTTCAAAATGAGGTTCCTCGCTTCATCTCCAGCTCAGAATGGCCACCAAAATCTCGGGATACCAATCCTTTGGACTATTGTGTCTGGAGTATTTTGGAAGCCAAGGTTGGCACTAAAAAATACCAAAGTGTCGATCACCCCAAACAAGCGCTTCGGCGGAAATGGGAAAAAATACCGCAGAGCAACATTCGGGCAGCGTGTGACGGTTTGGCCATTTGGAGGCCATAAATCGAGCCTAAGGCGACCAATTCGAAAAAATCTAAACTTTTTCTAAAATTTAATGCTATTTCCGACATTTTTTGCTTTCATTCAATAAAATTAAAAAAAATGTTAAAATTGTGGCGTTTGAGTTTGTTGTGGTTTTTTTATCTCATCCTGCATATACCTCAGTCCTGTAATACAATAGTGAACTTTTTTTTAGCATTCCAGCGGTATCGCTTCATCAAAAAGTAAATGCACCCAATTTAGTACCATTCAGTACTTTTCGTGCACATAAGTACAAATTTCGAAAACTACCTTCTTATCCCAATCCTGCACTCCGCCAGTAATATTAATTCAAATTCCAGGCCATCCAAATTCAAATTGTACCAAATTTAGTACCATTTTGTAATTTTCGATAAATTAGTACACACTTCCAGAACAACCTCACTTCATCGACCCTTCTCCTCAAATCTGGTTTCTATCCCAAATTTCAATTTTATAGCTCTCTCGTATTTTTATCTGCGCTATTTTCGAAGACTCTATATACTTAAAACGCAAAGATTTCGAATCGAGGAATCTTAATCTGAAATTTTCTAAAAGTGTTGAAGAGGGGGGAACTTCCCCCCTCCATTTTCTTACTTTGAGGGTTAAACTTTAAAAATCATTTTTTAACTCTACTTTTATAACCTGTTTGATTTTCCCCGTATTTATTTTTTTGTGTTGCACAGTGTAATAATAATTGAGGCAGCCACAAAATGGGTCTGTTTTGCATTTGAAACTTAACTCAAAAAAATCATTCAGAATTAACGACCCTTTTCTTTCCCCTCCTTTCAGATGGCCACCAAAGCCCAACAGCTACAGGCCATGTTCGCCAGGCGACGTGAAATGGAACACATGCACATTGAGCGTACTCAGGCAGTGAACAAATACTACGATCACTGGGGCAAGGTGACGACACGCTTCGAAAATTGGACCACACCTGAATATTATAAACAGGCAGAGGAAAAAATGCAGCGTAGCAAAGAGGAAAAAGAGAAACAAAAGCAAATGGAAGTGCGTCGTCGAAAACTAACAGAGCTCTTCGAAAACGAAAGAGAACAATATAACCTAGAGATGAAGGACAGGCAACGATCACGTAAAGTTCGAGCGGTTAGCACAGCCACACTGGCAAAGATTAATGACAATCTAAAGGAGCAGCAAGCGATACGACGAAAACTGGAATTGGAGGCTAAACTCTATGGCAAATGGCGGCATGGAGTGGATGATGAAAATCTCATTTTCGAATCAAAAAGTGATCATGAGGTGATAGCCAAGCTAAATTGGCTCGACAAACAGGTGGAAAATCAATTGGAAAGGGAAAAGGAAGAGCTTGAAAATCGTGAACGCATGCTACGCTTGCAGGCCGAACAAAATCGAGCCGAAGAATTGCACAAGCAACGTCAGGAGATACGTCAAAAAGAAATCGAGGAGATACGCGCCCTACAAGAGAGCCACATGGAACAGCTGCAGGAGCGACAAAGAGAGAGTGAGAAACTTAAAGAGAGTGAAAAACTGATGCGAGAAAATATCGAAGAAGTGGAAAAGGAATTGGAGCTACTGGAAGAAAGTTATGCGGTGTTGCAACAACCTTCTCAGTTTGGAGGGGCCTATAATTTGACCAAAATCAAGGTTTTTATGCGTAAACGATCCGAAGTCTACCGGAATCACATTAAGTTGTGTATTAGCATTTTAGAACGCACTGCCGCCTATGCTTCCAAATCCGAAGGGTTGTTGGCTCTCAAAGAGAAACTTAGCAAGCAGTTGGATTCCGAAATGTATACCTTGACCCAAATTGATGCCATGTATGAATCGGAGGCGAAATATAATCTACATCGTTGTGAGGACTTGTGGCAAACCCAGTCGGCGGAACGTTATAAGGAAATGAAGGAGATTTTGAATTTGGAACGCAATTCCAATGGTAAATTGTTGAACGATATTTTGGAACGAGAAAATGAATTACTGGACCTGCGCACAACCCATCTCAATGCCATTGAGAGCACGAGTGAGAAATTGAAACAGTTGATAAAGGAACAAGAGGAATCACCACGCCCTCTGTGTGTGTGCACACCACGAACCATGGAAGAGGAATCAAGGAAATCTATAGCTTCCACACCCAGAAGTTGTCATTCGGATGGGGATTTCTCCCGAGTTCATAGACCACAATCTTGCCAGACAGCCGTCTCTAAATTGGATTCTTGCCACAATGGCCGGGAAAATTCCGCCAATCGTTATGTTGATAATATCTCGAAGACATTCCGTGATCTAAACTTAGATGTTTGGGAGAGTATGGCATCATCACCACGTGAGGTGGACAATCAACGTTTAGAGGCTCAACGGGCATTACGCGTCGTTACCGCCGATACAGCTGAAAGACCACGTTTTGGCCGAAAACGTGTTGCCTGGACTTAGAGTGCAGGAGATCCATTTTTTTTTTGCATTTTAAATATTTAAAAAATATATATTTTCGAAATAAAACAGAATTTACAATTTCCTTAAAGAGACTAACTTAAGCAGGATTAAAAAAAATAATAAAAAATTCTTTAGCTTACCAATATGGAAAAGTAAGTATAGCAGAATCGGCTTCTCAATCGAAAAATAGCTTCAATGGTAAATATTGACACCTCCACAGCCCAAAAAATCATAGAGCGATTCTTACATGAAAATCGGGTGCTTGATAAGGCCAAAGCAGCGCCAAAATAAAAAACTTCAATGCAACCGACGAGCGGTACACAGAGCGGAAAATAAAGGCTAATCCTAGACTCTTGAATCCAAAACTGACCATTGAAATTCAAAATAGCCTTGGCAAAACCTGTTGTGTGGAAACCGTCCACCGGATTCGGCGTGATCACGATTTTCACAGCCGAGTTCCACAGAAAAAGCCATCATTAGCTCAGCTCAAAAAACCAGTTAGGAAAAGTCAAAAGTCGGGCGGGGCCGACTATATGATACCCTACAACACTATGCATATTTAATAGAGCTCCCGTAACAAAAGAATTTATTTCAAGTAGATCATACCACCTATCAACATTTGACTGTAGAGCAGTTATAGTTTGCTTTCAGAGGGATCCTACATTTATATGGGAGGCATATCCAATTCTGAAACGATTTTCACAAAATTTGACGGACACATTTTAATCTTTTATACCAAATAACATTGCTATAGAGTGCATTATATCACTTCAAAAAGGATTATATTAAAAAAATATATATCGGAGCCGATTTCCACCAAATAAAAACGCAAATTCACCCCCTTCGGGCTGTTATTAGCCATTATTTGCACAATAAACCTGAAATCGGATAAATGATATATGGGAGCTATATCCCAATCTAGGCCGTTCAAGATAAAATCTGGCAAAGTTATTTCCGAGCTCTATAACATATCTGGTACGAAATATTATTGTTGTCGAATGCATATTACGAATGTGAGGGACTTAAACACCAAATCGAATAAAATATATATATTGAAGCTAAACCAATATCTGAACCGATTTTCTCCAAATTTGATGTACTTCCTTCTAGACTCAATTCGGTCGGATGTACCAAAACTCAGGACTTTTGGATCTGGGCTGCATCTGATATCTGATATCAAACATCATTTTTGTGGGATGCATATTATGCATGAAAAGGACTTAAATCCCCAAATCGGATGAACCATATGTATGGGAGCTATAGGTATATCTGAACCAGTTTTCACCACATTATAATTACTTATTTCTAGGCTGAATTCGGCCGGAAGTTCTAAAATTCACTCCATTTGGACTGATATTAACCAGTTGAAGAACAATTAACGTGAAATTGGTTGAAGTTACATATATGGGAGCTATATCCAAATCTTAACCGATCTTTATAAAATTTAGCAAAGGTATTCTTGGGATGTACCTGATATCTTGTACCAAATATCATTCTTATGGAGCGCATATTACGCATGTAAGGGACTTAAAACCCCAAATCGGATGAAACATATATATGAGAGCTATATCTAAAACGATTTTCACCAAATTTGAAGAACTTATTTCTAGGATGAATTCAGTCGGAAATTCAGTTCATTTAGGCTTATATTGTCCATTTGGTTGAAATCGGATAAAGGTATGTACATATGGGAGCAATTCGTCCTTGGGCCAAACAAATATTGTCTTGCAAATTTCATCTCAATCGGATAATAAACGCAACCTGGATTTTGTTCAAAAAAAAAAAAAAAAAAAAAAAAAAAAATGCATTGACATCGACCCAAAAAGTGATTCTATGAAGATTCTCAAAAGTAACTATGGGTCTATCTCGCTTCCTTCTCCATGTTACAAACAAATCCACAAAGACACAATACTCTTACCGCGATGTGGTGTAGGGTATGAAAATCCGTTTGCAGTTTGCCAAAGAGCAACTTTACAAAAGTCTGGAACTCAGTCACTTTTTCCGAAGAGTAAAAATTGAATATGTTTGATTCGGATGGCATGACCTATGTATGGCGAAAACCTAATATGGAGCTTAATAAAGAAAATTTTAAATGCGATTGTGAATTATGGTATGGGTCTGCATTTCGGCTGCTGGTACAGGAAATCTTACTTTTGTCGAAAGTTTAATGGACGGAGGTGTATCTGCAGAATCTTAAAGACAATTTTTTGCAGAGCGCGAAAGATTTGGGCATACGGTCGCATTTTCGATTTACCAGGATAACGTGCCAAACATTAACCTGGAATTGTTCAGTTTTATAATTGTTCACCAGATATTACCAAGAAGCTGGTTAATTCTATTCCAACCCGCCTTCAAGCTGTTGTGGAACAAAAAGGGTACAAGACTTAATGCTAAAATGTGTAGAATTATGACCCATATACATGTCTTGAACATTTAAAAAAACTGCATAAAAATAAGCTGTATTTTTTATTTTTTTAATTTTTATTCATTTTATTTGGAGGGTATATCAACTGTAACTCAGACCCACCAAATTATATATTCTTGATCAGTCGATTTAGCTATGTCCGTCTGTCTGTCTATCCGTCTGTTTGTTGTAAACATGCAATCTCTCGAACGAATTGGGGTGAAGGCTAAAATTTTGCACATATGTGCATTTTGCCAGTAGGCATTAAAGGGTCATATCGGTCCACATTTTCGTATAGCGCCCATTTAACGGTACATTCCAATATTCGGTATTTTAAAGATTTTTGCGATATTACTACAGCCTATGACAAAAAACTGCGTATACAGGTCCACATTTTCAAATAGTCCCCATATAACGGTACCTCCCGATATTCGGTATTTTCATGATTATAGCGACATTATTCGCCGGAATTGTTTCACATTTCTTATTTGAAGTTCGTAATTGATACTATAACCCAAGACAGATAATTATCTATGCAGGTCCACAACTTGGTAAAGCCCACATATAACGGCACATACCTAAATTCAGTATTTTGATTCGTATATTCGGTATTTATTTCGTATTTGGTATTTATTTCGTATTTCCATGTCTAAACGCTATATAGTCATAGTGATCCCTAGATCCACATTCACAATTGTAGTTCTTTTTCTTCACTCTATATCATATTTAATACAATTTAGCAATTTTCTTCAACGCTATCGAGGAATTTCCAAATTAGACTCCGATTTGTTTCGCACGTTGTGAGAAATATAAGTAGTAAATATAACCATAAGAGGTAGTGCGATATCTATCATTTTCACACCAGAACTTGCGTTAGTAAAAATATTGGGCCCATTTTCGTTTTTTAGGAGTTTTTCAAAAAGTTCCGGTACGAAAATACTAATTTTTATACCCTACAACAATACGTGTTTGGGATATTATAAGTTTGATTGGATCAAAAATTATGTAACACCACGAAATATTGGTTTCCCACATAGGAAAGTTTATATTGATTTTCCTATCTCGCCGAGCTAGGTCGATCTAGCTATGTATCCGTCCGTCTGTCCATGTTAATTTGTAATCACTCTACAGGTCTCAATTATGGCCCGATCTTCACGAAATTTAAAACGAAGGTGGGGATAGGGCTTTTGGAAATGATCGCATACTATTTAGGAGTTATAATGGACCAAAAACTGAAAAATTTCCTGATTTTGCAGTTGCTCTACAGGTCGTAATTATCGACCAATCGACGCCGAAATTAGCATGGGGCTAGAGCTTAGGGCTGGGTAGAAGTCTTTGATGGTCATCGGGTAATATTTAGTGGGTGAAATATAACATATCATTTGTGTTAAATAAAAGTCAAATTTTCCATTAACCCGCGAATATTTTTAGTCCCGGCCAAATCATAAATAGGCGAACAAGTCATATATATCGGATATATATAATAATATATCGGATATATATAGCGAAATATATACAATGTGTATATACAAAGGAAGGGGATGTTAGCTAGAATGCTTATATCTCAAGAATGGCTGGACCGATTTTGACATAAAAGAGCCAAATCTGAAAACATTTCATAAAAAGATGCCAATAATGATGTTAATATATATTTTGTAGTATTTTGTTAATTTTTTTTATTTTTTTCATATTTTTTCATATTTTTTATCGCATGCGATTTTTATACCCTACAACACTATGTGTTGGGGGTATTATAAGTTTGATTGGGCCAAAAATTATGTAACACCACGAAATATTGATTTCCCACATAGGAAAGTATATATGGATCTTCCTAGCTCGCCGAGCTGAGTCGATCTAGCTATGTATGTCCGTCCGTCCGTCTGTCCGTCTGTCCATGTTAATTTGTAATCACTCTACAGGTCGCAATTATGGCCCGATCTTCACGAAATTTAGAATGGAGGTGGGGCTAGGGTCAGAATAGAACCCTATTTCTTTTGGACATGATCGCCAAATGTTTAGGGGTTAAAATGGACCAAATACTGAAAAAATGTCGGATTTTGCAGTAGCTGTACAGGTCGCAATTATAGACCAATCGACGCGGAATTTCGCATGTAGCTAGAGTTTAGGGCGGGGAAGAAGCCTACCAATTTGGGAGGTCATCGGATAATATTTAGCGGGTAAAATAGGCCATATCTTTTTTGTTGACAAAATTCAAAATTTTTCATTAAACCGCGAACATTTTAAATCCCGGCGAAATCACAAAGCCATGACAAGGTTACTTCTGATCTTTACATTGATGTTAAGATCCAAAAATTCGAATATATAGCAAATATATGCGATATATATGTCTATCAAAGAAGATATGCTTGAAAGATCTCATATATGTCGAGAACGGCTGAACTGATTTCGACAGTTCTCATTAATTCAGAATGGGCTCTTGGCAGAAAAGAAAAAACGTCTAAAAAATCGCATAAAAATATCTCTCTAAAGATGAAAATATTGATTTTGTAAAATTTTCTCATATTTTTTCAATTTTGTCATATTTTTGGCATATTTTCATTTTGAATTAAACATTTGGTAATATTTCTACAGCTAACAAAACTAAGTAGTTAGAATATCAGGATATCATATACAGATCGCATTTATGGCCCGATCCTT